TTATATAAGGCTTGGTCTCATTAGCTTGTCTAATATAGCTTGGTGCTACTTCCAAGTGCTGTTTCTAAGTGTCTAGTTGGAGATATTCTGGAGACTTTAACAGAAGCTTCAACTGTCTAAGAGTTGTGCTAAGAGCTTTCTTTTCTACTGTTACAGGTAAGATTCATCTTGTGGTAGGTTACTGATTGCCTGGGTTTGAATTCTGTTGGTAATTATAAGGCATTTGATTTGATTAAGCTTAAGTTACTTGCTGTTGATTGGTTGGTTAATTAGCTATTGTTTGCAAATAAGCAGAGGCCTACCCAGGTGTTAAACATTCCTAGTGGGTGGTGATTTAAGGAGTTATATAAGGCTTGGTCTCATTAGCTTGTCTAATATAGCTTGGTGCTACTTCAAAGTGCTGTTTCTAAGTGTGTAGTTGGAGATATTCTGGAGAGTTTTACAGAAGCTTCAACTGTCTAAGAGTTGTGCTAAGAGCTTTCTTTTCTACTGTTACAGGTAAGATTCATCTGTAGGAAAAAGGTTACTGATTGCCCAAGGTTTGAATTCCTGTTGGTAATTATAAGGCATTTGATTTGATTAAGCTAGTTACTTGCTGTTGATTGCTGGTTAATTAGCTATTGTTTGCAAATAAGCAGAGGCCTACCCAGGTGTTAAACATTCCTAGTGGGTGGTGGATTTAAGGAGTTATATAAGGCTTGGTCTCATTAGCTTTGTCTAATATAGCTTGGTGCTACTTCTAAGTGCTGTTTCTAAGTGTGTAGTTGGAGATATTTTTGAGAGTTTTACAGAAGCTTCAACTGTCTAAGAGTTGTGCTAAGAGCTTTCTTTTCTACTGTTACAGGTAAGATTCATCTGTAGGAAAAGGTTACTGATTGCTCAAGGTTTGAATTCCTGTTGGTAATTATAAGGCATTTGATTTGATTAAGCTAGTTACTTGCTGTTGATTGCTGGTTAATTAGCTATTGTTTGCAAATAAGCAGAGGCCTACCCAGGTGTTAAACATTCCTAGTGGGCGGTGATTTAAGGAGTTATATAAGGCTTGGTCTCATTAGTTTGTCTAATATAGCTTGGTGCTACTTCCAAGTGCTGTTTCTAAGTGTCTAGTTGGAGATATTCTGGAGAGTTTTACAGAAGCTTCAACTGTCTAAGAGTTGTGCTAAGAGCTTTCTTTTCTACTGTTACAGGTAAGATTCATCTGTAGGAAAAGGTTACTGATTGCCCAAGGTTTGAATTCCTGTTGGTAATTATAAGGCATTTGATTTGATTAAGCTAGTTACTTGCTGTTGCTTGCTGGTTAATTAGCTATTGTTTGCGAACAAGCAGAGGCCTACCCAGGTGTTAAACATTCCTAGTGGGCGGTGATTTAAGGAGTTATATAAGGCTTGGTCTCATTAGCTTGTCTAATATAGCTTGGTGCTACTTCTAAGTGCTGTTTCTAAGTGTGTAGTTGGAGATATTCAGGAGAGGTTTTACAGAAGCTTCAACTGTCTAAGAGTTGTGCTAAGAGCTTTCTTTTCTACTGTTACAGGTAAGATTCATCTGTAGGAAAAGGTTACTGATTGCCCAAGGTAAGATTCATCTGTAGGAAAAGGTTACTGATTGCCCAAGGTTTGAATTCCTGTTGGTAATTATAAGGCATTTGATTTGATTAAGCTAGTTACTTGCTGTTGATTGCTGGTTAATTAGCCATTGTTTGCAAATAAGCAGAGGCCTACCCAGGTGTTAAACATTCCTAGTGGGCGGTGATTTAAGGAGTTATATAAGGCTTGGTCTCATTAGCTTGTCTAATATAGCTTGGTGCTACTTCCAAGTGCTGTTTCTAAGTGTGTAGTTGGAGATATTCAGGAGAGTTTTACAGAAGCTTCAACTGTCTAAGAGTTGTGCTAAGAGCTTTCTTTTCTACTGTTACAGGTAAGATTCATCTGTAGGAAAAGGTTACTGATTGCACAAGGTTTGAATTCCTGTTGGTAATTATAAAGCATTTGATTTGATTAAGCTAGTTACTTGCTATTGATTGCTGGTTAATTAGCTATTGTTTGCAAATAAGCAGAGGCCTACCCAGGTGTTAAACATTCCTAGTGGGTGGTGATTTAAGGAGTTATATAAGGCTTGGTCTCATTAGCTTGTCTAATATAGCTTGGTGCTACTTCTAAGTGCTGTTTCTAAGTGTGTAGTTGGAGATATTCAGGAGATAACCTGGAGGTAATCTGAGGTATTCAGGAGGATAAAGAAAAAAGTTAATATTTGTTAGATTTAAATTATTCTCATAATTGGAATGGCAGGCTTAGTTCAGTGTAACAATTGCTATGCATTTGTTTCACGTTCCACTTTTTGGAGATTTGGTTGTTGTCTAATCTGTAGACAGTTCTCTATCTTGCGGCAGGAGATTGTATTTTTGAAGTCTGAGATTTGTAAATTATCTGGTGTAGAAACTCAGACTGGAACTGCTGCAAAGCCACTGCCGCAGAGACATGCTAGGAAAGGCAGATGGATTACTGTAGGATCTGGTAGACTTAGAGTTGTGGATAAAAGGCATTTTGCACTGTCTGTTGCTCTTCATAATTCATTTTCTGCACTTTCAGAGTGTAATGGTGTTGTGGAGAGAGGCACTGAGGCTAGTGGTGTTGTGGAGAGAGGCACTGAGGCTAGTGGTGTTGTGGAGAGAGGCACTGAGGCTAGTGGTGTTGTGGAGAGAGGCACTAAGACTAGTGGTGTTGTGGAGAGAGGCACTGAGGCTAGTGGTGTTGTGGAGAGAGGCACTGAGGCTAGTGGTGTTGTGAGGAGAGGCACTAAGACTAGTGGTGTTGTGGAGAGAGGCACTGAGGCTAGTGGTGTTGTGGAGAGAGGCACTGAGGCTAGTGGTGTTGTGGAGAGAGGCACTGAGACTAGTGGTGTTGTGGAGAGAGGCACTGAGACTAGTGGTGTTGTGGAGACCGGCTTGGAGACTATGGTGAGGCCTAATAGAAAGCAGTTGTTGTTGGGTGATTCCATTATAAGAGGTGTGGAGATGGACAATGGTGGTCTTGTGAGGTGTCTTCCCGGAGCTACTGCTCACAGAGACAGGAGACGTATCTGTACTATTGTTAAGCAAGCAAAGCAGGAAGGGGAATTGGATGTACTTGTCCATCTAGGGACAAATGACTTGGCTTGCAATGAGGTTTCAGAGGTTAAGGAAGTTTTTAGTGTTTTTGCCAATGATATATGGCAGGTTGCTTCCACACTGTCATTCTCTGAAGTTCTGCCTGTGCATAACACTCAGAACGACAGACAGATGCGTATTAGGGACTTTAACTTGTGGCTTGGTGAATGGTGTCGGGAGCAAGGATTTGGCTTTATTTCTCATGGTAGCTCTGTTTGGAATGGAGATAAGCTGTACAAAAAAGATGGTTTGTATCTTTCTCAAAAGGGAACAAATGTTCTCAGTGAGCAGTTCAGAGGTTTTGCTAGGATGTATTTAAACTAGGAGGGGGGGGCAAAAGGGTGATAAAACATCAATCCAATTGTCCCCAAAACAAGGACAGAAGGTGCCTGTAGCAAGTGTGTTAAAAAATGATAAGCTAAGAGTCATGTCTACAAATGCTCGCAGTTTAGGGAATAAGATCCATGAACTTGTGGCAATAATGGCAACGGATAGTGTAGATTTAGTCGCTGTTACTGAGACATGGTACAATGAGAAAAATGACTGGGACATAGCAATACCAGGGTACTCTTTATATAGGAAAGATAGGGAAGGCAAGAAAGGGGAGGGGTGGCCTTGTATGTGAAGGATAGCATAAAATCTAGCCTAATAAAAGTTAGTGAGGCAAACATAGAGTCCATTTGGGCTACGTTAGAATTTGGTAATCACACAGTAACTCGTGTAGGTGTGATTTATAGGCCCCCAGGACAAATTGAAGAGTTAGATAACTACTAGTTGAGGAAGTAGCTAAAATGACAATGAAGGGGGAAGTTATCATCATGGGTGACTTTAATCTTCCTGATGTAAATTGGAAAACAAAATTAGCTACTTGTGCCAGGAGCACACATATTCTAAACTCCCTACTGGGATTGTCTCTAAAACAAGTTGTTGAGGAGCCAACTCGTAAAGAGGCCATACTAGATTTAGTGTTAACAAATGGAGATTTGGTATCAGATATTACTGTAGGTGAAAGTATAGGATCCAGTGATCATCAGTCAGTGTGGTTTAATATAAGAACAGTGACTGAGTCACACCACACAAAAACAAAAGTTTTAGACTTTAGAAAAACAGACTTTTCTAAAATTAGAATATGGGTAGAGGAGTCATTATCAGACTGGAGCAATTTAAATGGAGTCCAAGAGAAATGGGATTATTTAAAAGTTGCACTATTGAAGGCAACAGAAAATTGCATTAGGCTTGTCAGTAAAAGCAAAAAATTCAAGAAACCACTGTGGTACTCCGCAGATGTGGCCAAAATAGTTAAAAACAAAAAGTTAGCATTTAGGAATTATAAAAAAAACCCAGAGTGAGGAAGACAAAATGATCTATAAGATTAGGCAGAAAGAGGCTAAGCAAGTTATAAGAGCTTCCAAATCACACACAGAAGAGAAAATAGCACAGTCAGTAAAAAAAGGGGATAAAACATTTTTTAGATACATAAATGAGAAAAGAAAAGTAAAACAAGGATTAGTTAGATTAAAAACAAAAGAAGGAAGGTATGTAGAAGAGGATAAAGGTCTAGCTGACTGCCTCAATGAATATTTTTGTTCTGTATTTACAGATGAAAATGAAGGAAAAGGACCTCAGTTGAGAAAAAGGATAAATGAGTCATTTATTACACGTGAGTTTACAGAGGAAGAGGTTCTATTTCAACTGTCAAAAGTAAAGACAAATAAGTCAATGGGACCTGATGGAATACACCCAAAGCTATTAAAAGAGCTTAGTGGTGTACTAGCAAAACCATTAACAGATTTATTTAACCAATCGTTGTTAACAGGAGTAGTCCCAGAAGATTGGAAGTTAGCGAATGTTGTGCCCATTTACAAGAAAGGTAATAGGGAGGAGTCGGGCAACTATAGGCCAGTAAGCCTTACTTCAGTAGTGGGGAAAGTGATGGAAACCATGTTAAAGGATAGGATTGATGAACATCTAAAAACACATGGATTTCAAGATCAGAGACAACATGGGTTTACTTCAGGGAGATCATGCCAAACTAATCTTATTGATTTTTGATTGGGTAACTAAAATTATAGATCAGGGTGGTGCAGTAGACATTGCTTACCTAGATTTCAGTAAGGCTTTTGACACTGTTGCACATAGAAGGCTTATCAATAAACTGCAATCTTTAAGTTTGGATTCAATATTGTTGAATGGGTAAGGCAGTGGCTGAGTGACAGGCAACAGAGGGTTGTAGTTAATGGAATATATTCGAAGCTTGGACTTGTCACCAGTGGGGTACCTCAGGGATCTGTACTTGGACCCATTCTCTTTAATATTTTTATTAGTGATATTGCAGAAGGTCTTGATGGTAAGGTATGTCTTTTTGCTGATGATACTAAGATATGTAACAGGGTTGATGTTCCAGGAGGGATAAGCCAAATGGCAAATGATTTAGGTAAACTAGAAAAATGGTCAGAGTTGTGGCAACTGACATTTAATGTGGATAAGTGCAAGATAATGCATCTTGGACGTAAAAACCCAAGGGCAGAGTACAGAATATTTGATAGAGTCCTAACCTCAACATATGAGGAAAGGGATTTAGGGGTGATTATTTCTGATGACTTAAAGGTAGGCAGACAATGTAATAGAGCAGCAGGAAATGCTAGCAGAATGCTTGGTTGTATAGGGAGAGGTATTAGCAGTCGAAAGAGGGAAGTGCTCATGCCATTATACAGAACACTGGTGAGACCTCACTTGGAGTATTGTACACAGTACTGGAGACCGTATCTTCAGAAGGATATTGATACCTTAGAGAGGGTTCAGAGAAGGGCTACTAAACTGGTTCATGGATTGCGGGATGAAACTTACCAGGAAAGGTTAAAGGATCTTAACATGTATAGCTTGGAGGAAAGGCGAGACAGGGGGGATATGATAGAAACATTTAAATATATAAAGGGAATCAACACAGTAAAGGAGGAGACTATATTTAAAAGAAGAGTAACTACCACAACAAGAGGACATAGTCTTAAATTAGAGGGACAAAGGTTTAAAAATAATATCAGGAAGTATTACTTTACTGAGAGGGTAGTGGATGCATGGAATAGCCTTCCAGCTGAAGTGGTAGAGGTTAACACAGTAAAGGAGTTTAAGCATGCGTGGGATAGGCATAAGGCTATCCTAACTATAAGATAAGGCTAGGGACTAATGAAAGTATTTAGAAAATTGGGCAGACTAGATGGGCCGAATGGTTCTTATCTGCCGTCACATTCTATGTTTCTATGTTTCTATGTTTAATCTATGCCTTGCCACCTTACCATATATTCCTACGTAGATCTGGCATTTTTATTATAATGTAAATATGTACAGCTGTATCAAATGCCATACAATTGTCTATTTTGAAATGCTTGCATTAGCTATTGTGAGCTTGATGTGTTTTGTTTTTTTTACTCTACAAAAATAAAGAATTAAAAAAAAAAAAGTTTTACCTCTAAGCACACCCTTTCCGTCACTCAGTCGACTTCTACATCAAGGTCTCCACACACCAGTTCCACACAGGTCTGGTCACACTCCTGTCAGGTTTTCACAAGTGTCAGAACCTTCAGTCCGCATTAATAGACCCCTCAACACAATCACGTTGCTTAAGAAGGTATTTGACAACCATATTAATTACCCTCCCCTAGCCTCAACTCATTGATTTCCTCTAAGGAATTCTCCCAGCACTATGCCAAAGGGGTTGACCGGAGCTTGGGTGGGCAAGACAGATATTTCCTATGCCTCCAAGCTTCTACCTATTCAGCCATCCCGAGGGCATGTTCGTGGCATTTTATGGAGGGATTGTCATGACTTTCCACATGTGTAACTTTTAGAGCAAAGAGTAACCCCAAGCTGTTTGTCTTATTTGCTAACACACTATGTTGACTAACACTCAATATTAGCAAATGTCCTGCAGTCACCCATTATCTTAGATAACTTCCTCGCGATAGAACGCCCTCACTCTGCTCTGGTTAGTATTCACAAGACGATGGCACTTTTCCTCACTATGGGTTCCACTTTCACAAACTGACCTTCTTAGGCATTCATCTTGACACTAATACGCTACAGAACATGTCCACCTACAGAGAAGGTACAGCGCATTGGAGTCCTGAGAACCTTTCCTTCTGAAGAACACGCGGGAGGGAGGCAGGGGAGAATGGATATACAGTCCTACTGGGCACATTGAAGTTCTCCATGAGAATTATTCTGCACATTTATTTCCCGACCGCTGAGTCTTCTTCCCACCGAAAGTTGCATTCTGGCACTAGTTGTAAGCAGACCTACACATATGGCTCAGGTTCATACCACACTGGAATAGAAGGCCAGGTTATTCCCGCCATTTCTCATAATTTCCCAGTTACATGGACCAATGTGTCCGCACACACTGATTTCCCAGCCAATTTGGTGACTTTTGATTCTGAGATGCCTGGCCAGTTGAGACTCTTGAAAAAAAAAAAAACCTTTCTGTAACGGACCGTTTTGCACACAAGGGGTAAAAACCGTTTAGGCGATCGGCCCCCTTTCCAGAGATACAGGCACAGCTACTGCAGAACACCAAACTCCCAAACTGGATACAAAATAGCACTCCAACTCCCGAACTGGAACCTCCCAAATAGCTGCTAGCAGGCGAACAGGAAAAGCACCCAAGCGGCTTACACTCCTGGCAATCAGTCTCTAACAGCATACAGTGAATCCCCCCAAGAACGAGACAAGGCTCCGTGTTGAGGGTCAAGCAGTGGTCTGAGGTGCTGGCACACCCAGCCTGGTTTTATTACAGTCTTGCAAATACAGGACCGCCCACAGGGAGGTATAAAACAACCAATCACATCACAGTTACATCCCACATATTCCCTCTC